CTGTGTGTGTGTGTGTGTGTGTGTGTGTGTGTGTGTGTCTTTGTCTCCCCCTCTCTCTCTTTCTCCATCTCCTTCTCTTTCTATGCCTCTGTGTTTCTGTCTTTCCCTCCCTCTCTCCTCTCGGTTGTTCTTGACCGAAATGTTCGTACAATGATGATTTATTAGCTTTGGAATTATAATATAATGTTTTCAGTGTATACTTCGTTAGAGCAATCTACGAGTTATTTCGGTTTCAAATATCTATGGTCTACCATTTCTGCCAAGAGCAGCCCTCGTATTTCATTACAATTTATTATGATCTCAAACATTAGAAAAATACAGTACAAAAAGTTGCTATGTTCTCATTGTACTGGCGGCAATCATTGTTGTCGACAACGCCCAATTTTAAGAGTAAATTTGTAGTGAAAAACTGAATTTTCTTAGCATTGCCGCTACTCTTTCGTGTATTGTGGAGATGACGAGCGAGGGGCACAATCCTGGGTTTAATGCAGGATGGACGTTCAGTTTTTTAGTTTTAATAGAGGTTTCACTGTGCTCGCAACTGCATAAAGTCATATGAACGCCAAGGGGTGGATGTCAACAGAGAAGTCCTTACAGGGAATCAGACTTACTCTGCTCACCTCTCTAGCTTCAACAGCACAAAGTTTGCTTCGACTATCAAGGCACCCCGGAAATAGCGGGTCCCAAGAGTGTGACAAACATACAAAAGAAGTAGAGGAAAACGACGATAATAAGGATTAGGAAAGAAAAAGCAGCAGTTCCCTGTTGTAGATCAGGCACAGCTATGAGCATGACATTGTTGAACCACCTGATTTACAATTCTTCAGTGCATTAGACCGAGAAATGTTCCCCCTTTGGGAATACCATAAAGACACTTCAGTCAGTGGCACCGCCCCGGGGGGTGATGGACGTTCAGGTTCTTGGGATACACATGAGATACATCATAATACCTATACCGATAACTGATGTTCATTCATCTTTTTTCATTCCATTTTTGGTCTGATGTTTTCTAACTTGAGCTTCAGAGGTGTTCCGTAGTACATGTATATAAGATTGCTCCAACGAAGTATACACTAAAAACAGCATTATCATTCGACACCTAATATTATTATGAGAACACTTCTGACAGGAACTTGGTAGAACAACTGAGAGGAGAGAGAGCCAGACAGACAGACAGACAGGAAGGCAGGCAGGCAGGCAGGCAGGAAGGCAGGCAGGCAGGCAGGCAAGCAGGCAGGCAAACATGCAGTCAGACAGACAGATAAACAGGCAGACATACAAACACACAGACAGAGACA